TAGTGTCTTCTGTCGTTTTAATTTTGGCAACATATAGTTTTTAGATTATCCCAAATTCTTAGGTTGCAAATTTAAATGTAGATACATTAGTGAACTTTTCTAAAGTTGTATTTGATGATAAATTGCTTCATCTAAAAGATGGCTCCTAAAGAATGTTTACATGATGCCAGGATCATAGGGTTAAGACGCTTACGGCGTTTTAAAAAGAATAAAATTCTAGTGAAATGTATTGCCCTTAAGCTAAAGTCTGTGAGAAGTTGCAACCTACAAAAATAATTAACACTTAATTAAAAAAAAGCCATAAAATATTAAATAAGTGATCTCTTAATAGGTAGGTCTAATGTTAGATAATTAAGTGCAACAGTCCCTTTATTCAGTGAAAGAATCACACCCCTCACCATAGAATATTTTGAAAAAAAAATATTTCCAATTTATAAATCTAGACCCTGCATATCAAATCTTTTTTTCTTTCTTTTTTTTAATATTAGGTCCTGAAAACATAAACCATATCTTTGACCTTGCAATTTTTACTTTTCAAGTGTTTTTTGAATTAAAGCTTCAACACGAAGTCAAAGAAAATACACAGTGTAAGAATTTCCAGTGTTGATGTTATTGGAACATCTCGAAACTGAAACGTACGGAAGTTTGTCTTGCTTTCATTTACCAGTCACAGTAATGCCAGTGACTGCTAATCACTAGTTAAGTTGATTAGCAGTCACTCAACTAGTGAAAGTTAAAGAATCACCAACAGCAACACAACTTACTGTCTAGTTGAAGTAAAAAAAAAAAAAAAAAAAAGACATTTTTGCTTATTCTCAAGATGCAGTTCAAGGGACAAACTTCAAAGGAAGGCTTTCAACCCAGTAAAAATCATAAAAATACACAGTTGCGGTTTAAGAGGCTTGTAAAGCAATAGAAAACACAAGTGGACGGCAGCGTTGAGAAACTCGTCTAAATTCTATGCTTCAACCATGATTTATGTTGATATCAATAAATGCTAGACGCACAATTATTCATAAGCTCACTGTCGGTGTCTGCTTGATAAAACAAGCAGATTGTTTTATCACCTGACGTTGCCGCGTGTGGCTCATGGACGTCGGGTTGTACCCGGAATCTACGACAAATGTCAGACTTCAGTTTTGACAAAACCTATCAGTAGCGACGCATTCAGTGTTATTCTGTATTAGACTCCTGCTTGTCGTGGTTAAGTATCGGGGTAATTTTTTTTTGTTTTCTTTGCATGTGTGTGTTGAAGTGAAAGCAGGGGGAATGAGGATAGTGCAGAAACATCAGCCGACTCCTGCGCCAGAGCCGCCTCAGAAAGACGACGACGAGGAGGAGTACGTCAGCAGCAGGTAAGGCAGCTTTTGACGAAACCTGTCAGTAGAAATAGGTGGTTGGTTTGATCTCATTCAAAGGTGCCAACACTAACTTGAAACATTAATCACTGTTTAAAAAAAAAAAAGGTTAGTAAAGAAAAATGTAGTCTGTGTTTAATGTTAATATTATATAGTGACAATCATAACAGCAAAAAAAAAAAAAAAAAAAAAAAAAAAAAAAATAATTTTTTTTATTTTCCTTAGA